CACAGATAAGGAAACTGAACCTGAACAAAGTCAGAGAATTTGCCCAAAGGTTCATAGCAATAGAGCTGAGATTAGAGCCTGGCTTCCTCAGGTCCCTGGTTCACCCAGACACCTACATCCTGGGATCTGTGGCCTTCCCTGGCATGCTGTTCTGAGAGTAAGCCCTCATACCGATTTCCAAAGCCCTGTCATGTGCCATCATAACCCTCAGCTCACCAGCAGCTACACACTTGGCACCATTCCTATGCCGTCCCCTAGTTCTGAAGGCCCTACCTCACACTGGCTTACAGCCACATGCTATGACAGGTCATATGTGTGTGCTGTGATCACCACATTCCAGCCCTCCTGTGGGAGCATGTCATTTCCCACGCGCCCTTTGACAGCTCAGACTTCAGCCCAGTGGTGAACTGTCCAGTCCACAGCTGTCCCCAGGGACCTGTCACACAGCACCTGGGATTTCAGGGCCAGAAGCCGACATCGGAATTCCTGCCCAGCCTACAAAACATGCGGAAGCTGAAGCCACAGAGGGACCCTGGGGGCTGGATGTTTGTAGTCAGCCAAGCAGGTGGCCATTCCCCCAACCTGTTCCTCCTGCCACAGCAGAGTCAGGGCTATGGGAGGAATCCACTTTGGAGATGCAACCTCCAGTTTGGGGGTGGGAGCCCACCCCCCTTCTATGATGCACATAACATTGCTAAAGATGCAGAATGAGTCGGCATCTAAGGGCCAAATAGAGGATGGCCATATGCAACAGGAGATGCTGTGAATAAACCAACAAGCCAGAGATCAAATGAACTCATCAGAACAAGACAAAATTAATAGCAGACGCACACTGAGCAGGCTGACAGGAGGCACAATGGAGAGAAGGGGCTGGGACGTGTCTCAAGGGCAGAGCACTTATTACCCAGGTTTCCCAAGGTCCTGGGTTCCATCCCCAGCACGCCCCACCAAGTAAAACAAAACACACAGCAAAATGGTGGCGATAATCTGGACCTAGAGATTAAGTCATTTAAAGGCCACTGTGAACCAGTGATACATTTACACATCTGAAAACCTAAAACTTGGGGGGAACCGGGCAATTCTCAGGAAGGTATAAGGCATCAAAAGAGGAGCCTGGAGTGATGACTCAGTGGATAGTGTATGCAAGCTTGAGGACTCAGATTTGAATCCCCCAGACTCGTATAAATATGCTGGGTCTGGCAGCACACAGCTATAATGCCAGCACTGGAAGGCAGAGGCAGGGGGATCCCAGGGGCTCAGTGGGCAGCCAGCCTAGCCAAATCAGTGACTCCAGCTTCTGAGAGAGACCCTGTCTCAAAAAAATGAGGTTCAGAGCCACAAAGGAGGAAACTCAACATTGCCCTCTGGCCTCCTCACCTGTACCCAGAGTGTACACATTCACTCTCATGCACATGGACACAGAAACACTAAGATGTCCAAAGATTGGCCCAAGAACAAGTGGAGAATTTAAAGTTGAGGAGTCATATTTCCAGATCTGGAGGGGCCGTCATGACCCTCCCAGTCTCAAATCATCAGCCCTGGGGGCTCTGGTGGCAAAGCTGTGCTGACCCGCAGGAAACAATTCTTCTGTTGTACAGGTCGCAAGGGGAGATGGGAAGGGGCGGGGAAGCTACCAGAGAAGCTATTTGATAAACGACCAACATTAATTACAAAAGCTAGAGAAACCCATAAAGGAATGTTACAGGCCCATTTCATTTATGAGCACAGATGGAGACACTAAGTAAAACACTGGCTGAATCCAGAAAAATAACCACATTCTCTCACTATCAGGAAGTTTATCCCAGAGAAAACATCAACAATAGAGAACTGGCCAGCATATCTGCCTCAGAGGATCAAGGGAGGAAAAAAACAGTCCAGTGTTCATGAAGCCTGGAGCAGACACAGCTCTAGGACAAGGTCCATAGTCTTCATGGAAAAGAATTACTTTCATCTCATGGAGCTTTTCATTCCCCCAAGCTGCATCTATGTCCGGAAGGGCCAGGAAAAGGCAAGAGCAGCAGATGCCCCTGCTGTGGTCTGAGGCCTGTGCCAGACAGCCAGGCTTGGAAGGAGAGACTGGAAGGGATGCTGTTCCTGGAGGGAGACAAGGCTAGACAAACCAACAGACAGAATATTAAATGGGATTCATCAAGGTTTCCAGGTGCCTGGTCACCAGACCACAGCAACAGCAAGATGCCATTTTCACACCAGCAGTGACTAACCAAGAACACTCAGACTCATGTCAGTTCAAATAGGAGGGTCTATGAGGGCTATATAAATACTAAAAAAGAGTGGTTACACGTCATCATATATATGTATATGCACATTACTCCCTTAATTGTGTAAATTAAATCTATAAGGAGCATCCAGGACACATATGTAGCTCTAGGGTCAGGGTCTGTCTATGTAACCCAAGCTAACCTTAAACTCGATAGCCTCCTGCCTCAGCCTTGTAAGTGCTGGTGTGTGCTCCCCCCCTGCCTGGCTCCGGTCTCCTTTTTCAAAGTTTTATTTTATCTCCCCCCTGTACATAGATCTATCCTCAAGGCACCCTCATGGTCCAAGGTAGCTGCTGAACTCCATCATCACATCTTTGATGAGAAGCAGGAGGAAGAAAGGAGTGTTGAGACTAAGGGAAAGTCCTTCCTTTTGGGGACCAGTCTCGGAATTTGCACCCAATGCCTTCTGCAGATATCACAGCAGGAAGCTAGCCACATGGCCTTGCCTCGCTGCCAAGCTGGGCATGCCTCTGTCTTAAACTCAGCTCTTGGTGATGGTAGCAGGAAAAAAAAAAAAAAAAAAAAAAAAAAAAGATAGTTATTGGCGTGGGCACCATGCGGGTCTGTCGGAGGCCCAGAGAGGGCATGGAGTTTCCATGCAGCCACAGAGCAAATGAACCACCAAGGCAGGGTGTCAAGCTTGGCCCAGGGTTGACTGCACACCTTGGCATGCCCATCATGAAGTCCAGCTGCTTCTCACTCCAAGCCGGCCTGATTCAGGGCCTGCGCCCCCTTCCTCTGCCCCCACTACGTAACCGAATGACTGTGATGTACCTTTCCAGTCTCCCTGGTGTCATGCTTGCACATAGCATAGCTTAGACCCGGTAAGCGTAAGAAGGACCAGGGAGGGCGCTCCAGACAGCAAGTGCCCACGCTGGCCACCCCACTTCTTCTGCAGGCCCTGACTGGGGCGGGCCTCGTGATCCTCTTTTCCAGAGATGGCTTTTAACGCTCACAGTGACAGGCATAGCCTGCATGTGACCCGGAGGGAGCATGTGGACTCCATGCTTGTTTGTTTTCTTATGAGATAGGGTCTTGCTTTGTAGTCCAGGCTAGCCCTCTGTGTTCTAGGCTCACCGGTATGTTCCACTATAACTGGCAGAGGTGTTGGGAGCCACAGCCTCTTCTCCAAGCACCTCAACCTGTGTTCGTTCTTTCTTTCTTTCTTCCTTCCTTCCTTCCTTCCTTCCTTCCTTCCTTCCTTCCTTCCTTCCTTCCTCCCTCCCTCCCTCCC